GGGGGGGGGGGGGGAATATTTATGTCGGGTTTATCGGTTGAGAGAGCACCTAAAGGAAAAGGGGCTAAAAATGAGGGTTTATTGGATGAGCTCTCGAAGCCAAACAAGAAAGTGATCGTCTTTGGTTTTTCTGAGTTTTCGAGTTTCTAAAGGGAAAGGCTGTTGTAGTGCCTCACCGAGTACTCTAATACTTCACGGTTAGGGCAGATAATCTCCTTTGCCCGGATTCCGTTCTTGTGTATCTTGAATGTCGGCACTACCCTCACATTCTCGGCGCTTGTTATCTCAGGGCATTTATCGATATCCACCTAACCCGAGGAAAAAAAGAAGAAAAACCCGCGATAAGTTTCCAAAACATGTCAGCTTTTTTGGGTTTATATATCATGAATCAGAAGTGATCAGTCTGTTCTACCTGGAAGAAGTTTACAGATGGGTATCGGGTACATAGTGTGTCCACGAACGGAGATATCTCCTTGCATCTCGAATCTGAGGCCTTCAGAAAATGCACGACCGAAACTCCTGCGGTTACAGGGCAAGTCACTCTAATAGGAAAAAAAAACTCTTACAATAAGATGAATGAGTAAAATTCAAGTTGATGATCACCTGGCAAAGATACTGCAGCTCTAAACTGTTCAAGACTGGAAACTTCCTCAACTTCGCCACCGAATTTCATGTTGGAAACTTCTTCCCCTCGAGATTTTCTTAGGGCGACTTGAGCATGAAACAAAGACTCAGCAACTTCCTTATCATCGGGTAGTTCTCTCCTTAAGGCCTCGTAATCCCTCACCGCATCTGCCCATTTTTCCAACTACAAGTAGCAAAACAGGCAAGGTTGAAACCAATGAAACGCAAGACAAAGTCCCGTAAAGGAAACTGTTTTTACCTTTCTGTAAGAGGCAGCTCTTCGGAGCAATGGCTTTGTGTACTTTGGTTGGATATGCAGTGCTTGGTTACAATCTTCAATGGTGTGTTCCCACATGCCGAGTTTAAACCAGCAAGCTGCCCGATTACAATACAAAACCGCATTGGAAGGATCGAGCCTAAGACCTTCTTCATAAGCTGAACATGCTTCTGTATATCTTTCCGATTTATAGAGTTCGTTGCCACGAGTACGTGCCCTAGCAACTAATGTAACGCTATTTACCAACATAGAAACTTCATTGTTTCGTGGATCTCTTTGACTAGCTTTCTCTGCAGCTGTAACTGCACCCTCAAACCTGCAAGAAGCCATCATATCTGCTCTTACCCTCAACAAACAAAAACACAATAATCCATTGATTTTGGTTTTCATGGTTTTTCTAAACTCACCTTCCTAGTGCCATCTCGATTTGGGATTTGACAAAATATGTATAAGCTTCACAGATCATCCCAGAAAATCGATTTTGTGAGCAAGAAGCAGGGAAAGGCTCTACTATGGGAACTTCTGATAGCGTTATTCTAGCGTCATCAAGCTTGTTAAGCTTCACAAGTGCTTCCACTTTACACAAAACTAGCTGAAAACATGACACATGATGGTTTAAAACCTTTCATTTCATAAAAGTTCCACCGAATAAACAGACACTAGAATGCCGTTCTTACATGAGGCGAAAAGTCGGCTCCACAAGCAATAGCAGCATCAACTTCCTTCAGCACAGTTCTCCAGTCACCGCGTTTCCGGGCATCTGTACATTTGTTTAAGTGTGCGTCTATTGCCTGAACCTTCTGCGACTCTGTAGGATCCGATTGATTCCCAAGAAAACGGAGGTGATTACTCGCACTTTCAACTTGGCCCATCCTACAATCATGTCAAGTTGAATAACAATTGGTTAGAACTCATGATTTCTTTGTTACCTTTTTAAGCCCAATAATTGCAAAGATGCCATCCTAATCAAAATAACCTGTACATATCCATGAATAAGTTTTAAGATATATCACCCCATAAAGCCAGGAGATAGATAATCCCACACTAGTTACAGAGAATAACCCTTTTAAGGCAATGAGCTAATGCAAACAAACAGTCATACTGGTTCTAGGGTTACGATCTCAGCGATTTGTGAGAATTACTGCTAGCGAGAAACTTACCTCAACACGGAAAAGGAGAGAAAAGGGCGAAACCTACATATAAACTAAGTAAAGGATCAAGAGTACAAAGACAAGAACTATACAACCTAGAGCTTCCATATGCCATTTTCCATAGGGTACGTTTTCGATTCAATACAAGATCTAGAAAAGGACAGAAAACTATGTAGGTTAACTACATAAAAGTTTATAAGGTTACCCACAATGTCAAAATCAGCAAACCATCAAGTTTCACCAACCTAAACCAGCTACATTACAGCAAGTAAAAGTGGTAGCCATCAACAAAAGCCCTAAAAACTAACAGCTTTGGAGATTAACAAAGAAACACCTTTGTTTATCAATACAGATCCGAATCCTTAAGCCAATCAGCAACTCATGAGCAAATGAAACTTGGGTACATCAACTAAGCCAGAATACCATTCTAAGATCCTGCATTGATGAACTTAATCATATGGTTCACAAATTTCTGACATTCATAAACTAAAGTAGAACTCACCTAATAAACAATGAGGCCAACCGCTGGTGAGCCCTCCCGTAGTTAGGATCCAATCTCAAAGCTTCTTCACACTCTTTAATGGCCTCCCCTATACGCTTCAAACCCATCAATGCCGCTGCCCGGTTGCCTCGGCAAGCTGCATTTCTTGGCGATAAGACAATTGCCCTGTCATACAATCTCAATGCATCAACAAAGTTACCCTTCTTGTACATTTCGTTCCCTATCCTCTTCACTTCTTCCGAATCCGAACTCGAGATTGCTTTCTTCATCAACAGGTCTCCAGAGGATCCTCCTCTGCTCGGGCTGCCGACAGTTGCTGGAGAGCCCGAAATGTGTCCCGGAGATCCTCCGGCTCCGCCGCTAGAGCTGGGTTTTGCGGCGGAGACGCTGCTACCGGTGCCTCGCATTATGCTTCCGTGTCCATAAGTGCCCGTCCCAGATCCGAGAACGTCCGTTCTTGTGCTCCGGCTCGTCGCCATGCCCGTCTTCAACACTCTTCCCGGCGGCAAAATGTTCCCGGCGGGAAGCACATTGATCGCCGGAGATGTAGCGGAAGAGCTTTGTCCCGAGTAGATTAGCGGCTGAGTCGTGCCCGAATCTGATCTGGTCTGACTCGGTCTTGGATTCCGAATCGCCGCGGCCTTTGGGCTGCTCTCACTCGAGCCAGATAGATCGCCGGAGTGAGTGCTCCGACCCGAATCGGGTCTTCTGGTGGCAGAGTTGGGACCGACCCGACCCGATACAGATCCCGCCGAGCTCGCACTGCTGCTACTCG